TTCCATCGCCCTTGTAGACTATTCTATATTGTTGTTCCTTTTGGAAAACAACAATACGAACATAATATTCATCTTCAAAAAAGATGTTTAACCAGCGTTGCAAGATTGCAACATGTTCCAGAGAATATTCCTTAAATTAAAATATTTTAAATTATAATATTGTCATATTTTTAAAAACTGATTTAAACAATAAAAAATACCATAAGTCCAAATGCAAGTCTTGCATTTCGCATTAAATTTTCTACTTGGAATATATGTTGATGTTGTTGTTGGCAAAATTCTTTAAATCTAGCGGGTCCGTTGGGTATGCCTTGATCCATCATCCTAATTTTTGCCAGTCCGATAACTACTGCACGAGCAAGGCAGTATCTGTCGTTAGGATTGTGGACGCGCACAATCGATCGGCACCGGGACGATAAAACATGGTCGGATTCCAAATCACAACTACCTGTAGGAAAATAGCAGCCTTATATTTAAATAAAAAATATAAGACTAGTATCGACCTACCAGATCGGCCATCGGGATTATTTGTTCGTTGTCCATCTAATGGCCACACGCCCACAACTTTTGTTACTGTTGTTCCCGATAACAAATCAATTCCGGCCTGAGACATTTCGTTCAGTCGTTCAATTGCTGCGGCCAAAGCGGCAGGATTATTCTGGCCAAGTGGTCGAAGTGGAATTGTAAACGGGTGATGGAAATTTGATGGTTGCACCTGAAGACCAACACGAAGTGGTGCTGGTCTTCCGGCGAGCACCCGATCCAAAAGTTGTTCAATTAGGCTTGTGAGAGCCAAATCTGGGCGCGGGTGGTCTTCAAGAGGATTGAATCGTATATGGCAAATTTGGCCATAAGTATTACGAGAGCGAGAATTGAAATCAGTAACACGCTCGATTGTGAAGTAATTGTTCATGTTAATGTCCTGAATTTATTATAGTATTATTATTAATTTTAATCTTTATTTATACAAACACAAAACGCTCAAACATGCACAATTGTCACATATATATCAAAACTATTTAGCTTGTTATTCCCACTAGCGAGACGGTGAGGGGTTAACTACTTAGTCATAATTGATACTAAAAAATTAATTAACACCATTTCATAATATTTACTTAAAATTAATTTAACGACAGTCGTTTATTAACCATATTTATCTTATTACTCCGATTAGCGCAACGGTGCGGGGTTAACTACTTAATTATAATTGATACCAAAAAATCAAATAACGCATATTTCATAATATTTACTTTTAACTATATTAAAAACAATTAAAGGCTGAAATATTTTGTTTATAATTTAAGGCAATGGATACTTAGAAGAAAAATTAAGGCCAAAATAAAAGCTTAATTTAAGTCAGTTACAAAGTTATAAAATAATAATAAATTAAGATAATAAAATAATATTTAAATAGAAGCAAGATATTTTGGGACGGACATATCGGGATTTTCTGATGTAAAATAGTAAATCTACTAATTTTAAGAACTAAAGCCACCAGGATTGGATAGTAATATTCTCTATTTATTCGAAATATTTTTCCTTTAAGAACCAACTTAACCGTGAAAAAATGTTATTTGTTAAAGCAAAACCAAATATGCCCGTCCCCAAATGTTTTACTATAATTTCAGAGATTATATGTAAGGATTATTTCAAAATAGTAATATTAATATTTAAAAAGTAAGAAAACATAATTTTAAATTATAAAAATAATTTATTTTTTAAAAAATTGTATACTTTTAAATAACCTAAACATGCCCCTTAGATTGAAAATTCTGAGAGTCCAATACAAACACAAAAAATATTTAAAATGTTGGACTACTCGTTATTTTCAACCTGGGGAGCCATATCCTTTCGACATATTGTGCAAAAACGATAATTACGTGACAAATCCCAAAAACAAATTTTGTGAATTTTATGATTACACGGTAAAACGATTACACTTTGTAATGCGGTAAAATCTCGGTTACACGGACCACATGATTCTTCCTCAGGATTGTGAATGTAATCCTCTGGAAGTTTAATACGAGAGGCCATAAGAGCATTCCGTTCACTTAAATTCAACCCCCCAGGTGCCGAATATACATCAACAATACGTCGCTCCCCTCTATACATTTGTGCCAAGTGACTTTCTTCATCGTTAAATACTGAAGGTTCACTGTAGATTAAGGGGGGTGGGGTACGGCCGGCAGTTCGCAAAATGTTTCGTAACTAATAAAAAACACAATATCACGGACAACGCATTAATAAGACAAATATTTTTATTTTAGTAAAATTTACTTGAATTGGCTGGTTGCTATTAGAATTTGCAAATTGTGTAGGCATACGCTGAAAAAATATAACTCTTAACAATAATTTAAGTGTATTTGAATTTTTAACTTAGAAAATTAAAAAAAGCATTACTTGATGGGAAGGAGAATTCTGAGAAGTTGAATTTGTTGGTGCCAATTCATTTAAAATTTCACTAGCAAGCTGAGATTTTTAATAATTCAATTTTTTTTTCAAATAAAGAATTACAAATAATTACTTGAGGCGTATCATCTACAACCACCAAGTCATTTAAATTTTCAGAAGCAACTTGTCGATGTTGATGCTGAAATAATTATTATTGTTGCATGTATTATATAAAAATTTTAGAAAATTACAAAAAAAAATTGTAATTAAATTTTGTTAAAAATATTATTTGTTAGCATACTCTTAAATAACTGGCAATTTATTAAGAAACATCGTTTTAAATTTAAACGAAACTGCAATATTCAAATTTAAAAAAATAAATTGATTTAAATATGAATCCCGTTAATTGAAATTTTATTGAATCTAGCATTAATATTAAATACTTAATTCGAATAGATTTAAGCTAATATTTTATTTTATATTTTTTATAAATTTTTTAATTTAAAATTAATTTAATATTAGCAATTTCTCATCAATTGAGTTTAAGTACAATATTAATCAATTCGATTATGTATCATATTACATTTAAAATTTAAAACTCAGTAAAAACATTTTAATCAAAATACTTAGATAAATTTCAAATTGGCAAAAGAAAAAAAATTTCAAATAATATTTACTTTAATTCAATACTAAATTTAATTAAAATTTCTAGTTCAAGTGAAATTTTTAATTCAAATTTTAATTTAAATTCTATTAAATTTTTAATTCAAATTTTAATTTAAATTCTATTAAATTTTAATCATTTATTTAATTATTTTAAGCAAATAATTTAATTAATGGCTAAATCTTCCTTCAATAGTCATTAAATAGTAAATTACAAATGAATATTAATAAGACAAATTTATTAAAAGCATTTTCAAAAATATTTATTTAAGCAATTAAATTTATAATTGGAATATAAAAAACTATTCAAATTATATAATTCAATGAAATTTTATTTTAAGCAATATAAAAAATAAATTCAGAAATTAGGATGAAATTAAATACAGTTGTAAAGCAGTAAAAAGATTATTACTAAATTTTACGAGAAAGAGCATAATAAATTATAATCGAGAAATTCTAATTTAATAATTTTTTAAATAATCCAATGTATTTTTTAAAATAAATATTAATAATAGATTGAATAAGGTTAATACATTAGATTTATAATTGAAAAATTTAAGATTTGAAAATTTTCAAGTCAACCTACATATTCAACTTCTTCTTCCTCTTGGGGCTGTTGATAAATACGGGCGGAACTTGAAGGCCCTTGCTCAGTTAAATTACTTTGTTGTTGTTCAAAATTTCCGGCGTTTAGTATTTCAATTGTTGAGGAGCTAACAAAACGCAATTTTATGTCCACACTTCCAGACCATAAATGACGAGCTCCTGTCTCGGGAACTACAATAAGATTGCACAGCTTAACTCGCTAAATTTTAATAAATCAAATTTTTTTTAAATTTAAAAAATTTACATGATTTATTTTTGCACCTTCTAATCGGCTCGCATTTTGTTTCCAGGCAAAAACACATATCTTCTCTATTTCACCAGCCTGGCCTATTTGGACATGACAGTCACCGCGGTCCCACCCATTTTTTGCGGTGGGACCGCGGTGACTGTAGACCACACCGCCGATTAGCTCGCTTTAAAAAAAAAGTTTTTGTTAATTAATTTTTGAATATTAATTTGAAAAATATTTAAAAAATAATATTTTTATTTTCAAAAATTACCTAAACACTTGATCTTTCTCCCACGGTAACATGAACATATCTGTTGCAGTACAGCCAGTAGTTTCATCTAACGTTATGAATCTGGCTCCTTCAGGCTGATGGCCAGTAAATCGATTCTGCCGTTTTGCAAGAATCTATTAAAAAATTTTTTAATTAAAAATTTTAAATAAATTAATTACTTTCAAATTTTTTTTAATTTTTTAAAAATTAAAATTTAAAAAATTTTAATTCACCTAAACGTTCTAAACTTTGTTGGTTTAAATATTTTATTTACCTGCGCAGCTATTTCCTGAGGCATTCGATCCGCTTCTTCAACAATCTTTAAACAAAAAAAAAAATAAAATTTTTAAATGTAGTATTTTTTAATTAGTTAAGAATAAAACTAATATAAAAAAATATATTTTTTTTTCTAATATATATATTTTCTTTAGGATTTTACAATATTACAATACCTGAGCTGGAGCTGCGGCTACAGGCATTGGCATTGGTGCCGCATTTGTTGAAGTCATTCCCTCAACCTTTATTATTAAAATTTAAGAAATTTTTTTTTAAAAATTAAACAAATTTTGTTTTTCTTTCATTTAATTTAACCATGGTAATTTAAAGTTTTTTTAAAATTTTTTTTTAAATTAAATCAAATTTACTTGATTTTGTTGTGTTGGATACAAAGACCACATCTGTTCACTTGCCGGAACCTAAATATGTAAATTAAAAATTGAACAAGAGAATTAATATTAGTGTCAGTTTTAGGACATACTTAATCTGAAATAGTTCGACAAAAACACTGAAAAAAATATCAGGCATAAATTTCCCGAAAAAATTTACAAAATAAATATATTTTTACATTTTTAGAAAATTTCTTAAATCTACCTGAGATTCAGGATTTGTGTTTAGTGTTGCATTTGTTAAATCCTGTATTTGTTGTTCTTGTAATGATTCTACTGGTGGAGGTGTTGGCGAAGTAATTATTCTAAGCTGACGTCGAGGAGGTCCCGGACTCTGTTCACTTGTTGGGCGCTTGCGGTTTGTTGAATTAGAGCTTGTACGTGGCATAATTTTACTCTTCTGAAATAATAAAAGTATAAATTTTAAATTAATAAGATCAGACTGGAACATGGGTACAGTATTATAGAAATGCCTGCGGATATCCGTCTGTATCCGCCGTAAATATCCGGATACCAAAATCAGTATCCATGTCTAGTCTGAATTAAATTAAGCGATTTTGTATAAGTAAAAAATTTTAAATAAAAATAATGATGAAAATATTTTAATGAAAAAGGTTGATTAAATTATTTGTTTTAATTGGAAAAAATTTTTTTGTTTAAATGCTAAAAAAGATTTTATCTACAACATTCCTCTTTTGTTTTGTTCCCTTTTAAAAGGAAAGAAAAAAATTTTTTGAGTCCTTAAAAATTAAGTCCTTAATTTTTTATAAATTAACAAAATTGATTAATTTAGGTGTCATTCGACTAGGCTCGTCAAACTCTTCCGAATGAGATCACATTTGTATTTTCTAAAGAGTTTTGAAACCTTACCCTAGTCAATTACCGACATTCGAGTTTTAAACATAATACGACTAACAAAGAAAGTTTACAATAATATTTATATTATATCTATAAATTTACTTCAAGTTTCTCTGACAATACACCGATCAACGCACCAGCAAAGTTCTTCCCAATTCCACAAAGAATAATAACACGTCCACTAGCCATGTATTCACAACCATGATCACTAACACCTTCGATGCCAGAAGTAGCACCAGAATTACGAACTGCAAAACGTTCTCCAGCAATTCCTCGAAAGAATGCTGTCCCTATAAAAAATTTAAAACTTAGAAATTGAGAAAATTTTTAAACCAGAAGTTGACCCATAAAGAGCCACATTTCCAATTATTGTATTTTCTTCAGAAGCATAAGTAGGATTTTTGTATGGCCGAATTATTATTTTACCTCCAGAAATGCACTAAATTAAGAAACAAAAATAAAAGAAAAACGAATAATTCAAAACCTTTCTAACATAATCATTCGCCTCACCCTCCAATCTGACAGTGAATACTTTTGCCAAAAAAGCACAAAAACTTTGCCCAACAGCTCCTTCCAGATTAAGTGCCAATAAATGCCCCTCAGGCAACCTTTCTTCTCCATAAAGAATAAAAATCTTAAAAGATATTTATAAATTTTATTAATTATTCAAATACCTCGTAGGTAAGTCGAGCACCAAAACAGGGGTTTGTATTACCTATTATTCTTTCTTTGATGTGTTTAACTTTTGAAGAGTTATCAAAGAATTTAATTAATTGTTCCTTTTCTATTATATCAGTTTCCAAATCATTACATTCATGCAGCTAAAATAGATAAATGAAAAGTAATCAATCAGTACTCAATTAATAAAAACCTGTTTTATCGATCCACCTTTTATATTGATCTGCGGGAATTGCAAGGAAACTTTATGCAAAATTTGAGCAAACTCTAGAAAGGTTGCTTTGTTGTTCATCGGATGTGGAACCGCATAAAGTAAATCAACTCTTCCAACAGATTCCCTCACTTCTCGCAATACCAATTTCGAAAGAAAATAACGAACATCTTCGGCTACCATAAACATATAATTAACGACATGTTCTGGCTTTCCATCAAATTTTGCTCGTAGAACGGGATCCTGAGTAGCTATTCCAACTGGACATGTATTTAAATGGCATTTTCGCATCATTGTACATCCAAGAACGATCAAAGGTGCTGTAGACATGCCGTATTCATCTGCACCTAGCAAAGCTGCAACCATCACATCACGACCTGATAGGACACAAAGATTTTAAAAAAAGTTAAATATTAAATAACCAGTTCTTATTTGTCCATCAGCTTGAAGTACAATGCGGGAGCGTAAATCATTCATTGTCAAAACTTGATGAGTTTCAGAAACACCTATAATTATTTAGTAATTAAAGATTGACGATAAAATGTGTTGGATCAATTAAGGTAAACATACCAAGTTCCCAAGGAAGACCAGCATGCTTTCTAGAATAATTGAGTCAAATTAAACACGATTTATTAAAATACTCACATTCCCGTCCAACTGCTTGCTCCTGTACCACCATCATGTCCAGAAATAGTAACGTGATCTGCACCTCCCTTAGCCACCCCTGCAGAAACAATACCAACGCCAGCCTCTGAAACCAATTTGACACTAACTCGAGCTCTGGGATTTGCACATTTTAAATCATAAATTAACTAAAAAATATCGAACATTTCTATGTATAAATTAAAATTTATACTTGTGTGAGATGTTCAATAGTGTAAATGCCACGATGAAAAGAGACGAGTCCACCTTAAAAGATAGTTTGGTAATATTGAACCTGCCAGACCCCATTTTATCCTCCCAAATTTTTTCCTATATATCCACAGAATAGACTTCTTCCTCTCATTTCAATTGCCTTTCTATATTTTGCCTACAAACAATCAAAAGGAATTAATTTTCATTCCCCTTTGGCTGAAGAAAAAGAAAATTGGGATGGAAGGAAGCTTGACTATTCTATAAATATATAGGAAAACACTTGGAAGGAAAAAATGGGGTCTGTCAGGTTCAATAGTACCAATAATTTACATTAAGGTTTTCCCGTTATAAATTATAAACTGAAAAACTGATCAAACCTCCTTGAGTTGATTTTCTTGTAGCGGCAATTTCTCTCTTTACTTTGTAACCATGAATTTCACCTGAAATTTGAAAAAAACACTATGATTTTACAAAAAAAAACCTCCGTCGCCCAGCTTTGCTTGCTGAGCCATTTTTTCGTCGGATTTTGCCCTACATATCACGATTAAATTCATAGCATGAAAAATCCGACCTGTTAACACCAAAGCGCCCCAAAGCTACCTTTTGAGGTGTAAATTTAAAGGAAGGAGCGGTTGATGGGCACACAAGCAAAAAGCTGTTGGAAATAGGACAAAAAAGTCACAAGAAGGATCGATTGATGGACACACGAGCAAAAAGTTGTTGGAAATAGAAAAGCAAAAGTAGTGGCTTATAGTAGCAGAAAGGAGAGAAGAGTTTTGTATGTTTGTTGTCTCTGCTCTAACTCTACAGCAGAGAAAGAAAAGATTTACTGCAGAAGCGAGAGAAAATTTTTTAGCAGAAAAGAGAAAAGATTTTACAACAGAAAGGAGAGTAGAGTTTTTTGTTTGTTGTTGTCTCTGCTCTACCTTTTCTCTGTCTGTGGGGGGTGGGTAATCAGCTTAAGTTAAATTATAATTTATATTTATTCAACTACCCGGTGGCCGGGTCGGTAGTGTGCCCGCATTTAGGCAGGAGGGCACAGGATCGACCCGGCCACCGGTAAATTAATTTTATTAATTTCGTTTTTAATAATGGCCTTTTGATTTGTGGGCGTTTTGGCTTTTGGACATTTTGTCGCGTGGCAATTTGTCGCGTGGCAATTTGTCGCGTGGCAATTTGTCGCGTGGCAATTTGTCGCGTGGCAAATTGTCGCGTGGCAATTTGTCGCGTGGCAAATTGTCGCGTGGCAATTTGTCGCGTGGCAAATTGTCGCGTGGCAATTTGTCGCGTGGCAAGTTGTCGCGTGGCAAGTTGTCGCGTGGCAAGTTGTCGCGTGGCATTTTGTCGTAATGGCGTTTTGTCGGATGACGAAAGGTATTGGATTACGTCATCCTTATTTTCTCTGCCCGTCTCTCCAGGGGCGGGGCGATAATCAATCAATAAAAAGAAAGGGATGTTATAGTAGTCAAAAACATTTGAAGGATTTGGAATCAAACAAATTTATTAATTTTTTAGAAAAAATAGAAATGTGTAATATGGGAAGCGTTAAATTTATCTACAAGATGTTCGAAAAAAACGAAGTTTTACAAGGATTTTCGGAGGAAATCTGTAACGCTTTCTCGCATTATTCAAAGGATTTCTATCACATTGACGTTGAAGAGTTTTTTGAGATAAATTTGAGTAATGAGGAGATTGAATTTGAAGTCCGATATTTTCATGAAGTAGATAAGAAGCCGATTGAAAAGAAATTGGAGGATTTTTTTAAAGAATTTGAAAAGGAGGGTTTCTTACAGCATATTACAGGTGTAATATTTGGGAATGGGAAAAAACTGTTCAACAAAATAGAGGAAAAACCCAACACGAAGAAGGAAAAAATTGATTAAAATTGAAAAATTCGGAAGTTTTGGAAAAATCTAACACAAGGAAAAGGTACTTTTTTAATATCCCGCCCCTCTCTGTTTGAGTTTCAGATTAATTTTCAATTTTGCCTTTTCTGCCTCGAAATTGTCAAATTTTCTTTTATTGAATGTTGATTTTTGCAGTTAATGACAATTTTTTACTTCCTGTCTTTTATTCATTTAAATTGACTTTTATCTAAAATACTTGAGGAAAATGATTGAAGATAAAAGGAAAATTAATCTGAAATTCAAATAGGCAGAAGGTGAGGGAAATTAATTAAGTACCTATGTAAATATATGCGACATTCATATAGCATACACATAAGGATATTTCAAAAAAAAAACAAAGTTAAAAACTTGTAAAAGTTTGTATATACTATATTTTTTAAATATTTCATATTACCTCATTCACAAACATCCAACATATTCCTGTATAAACCCTCAAATTATTTACCCGCTTCCTTACAGCCTAACAAGGACTATGCGTTATAAAAAATTTTCAAAGATACGTATTGCGACAGACTTCCTGCCTTGAAAATATAAGCTTTGCTTCTTGTGACAGGAGATGTCAAACTTTTGTGATATTTCTGTTATCCCCCCTTTCTTTATCATTTATATGGCACATGGACAGTATTTCTCCCTTCCTCAATTCTCTCAATCTCCCTGTGGCATATTTTAATGAGAGACATTAATAAAGAAAAAACTATTTTCAGATATAAATGACTGATTTTTAAATATACACGCATAACTAAGTTTCTTCCAATATCAAAACACGGTGCAGACACAAACGGAACGACCAAACCACGTGTTTTGGCCACATAAATCGGTTTGGTTGTCCGTGTTTTGTCTGTGCCGCATTTTAGCCTCCACATTTTGTGTATTTGGTGATATTGAAAAATATTAAAAAAATTTTATTCTCCTATACAATGATGTCACAGGGAAATAGAGAGAAAT